TGTCCTCCGTGTCGATCTTAAAATATCTCCAAACTGCCGACGTTACTTCTTCTTCTCATCGTTCTTCTTCTGTTGTTCGGGGGTGCGGTCGGAAATAACTTGTCAGTGCGTTAGCACCCCCGCCTGGTATAGATTGTTGTTTACCCTTTGTGCTGCAGCGTAGCACAGGAGGAACACAAAAGGGGACAAAAGCGGTATCGGTTAAGAGTATCGGCTGGCTTTTACGAGTACGAGTACTTGATGCTGGTATCGGACCCGATACCGATACGGACACCTCTACACACAACTGAAAGAAAAAAATTAAGCTTCTTTTCAATGTCAGGATGTTAAGGTGTTGGCAATTTAATCCTCAGATTTGACCAAATATTTCTTCAGTCTTTTTAGTATTTAAACCTGATTTTTAATTTCAAAATGAATAACCTGAAACCAGTTTTCCATTGGCAACTGGCATGATTCTTAGCAGACAAAACATGTACATTCTCAGCTTCTACACCTATGTGTGTCACTCAAAATGCTTTGCGTTTTGGAAAAATAAAATAAAATCTGAGTTGTGTTTCACAAAACCATATTGAATAGACAATACATTTTTATGCAAGAGCCAAATAATATTGAGAGTTGTCAGATTGTTTTTCGTAAAATGGATTTTAATACGCACTTAAATTAATTCTGATCCAATAAAATGTATTTTCTTTTTAGATAACGGGGCCTGATGGGAAGCAGATTTACAAAGGCGACAGAGAGTCCAGTGGGAAATATTCAGTGGCTGCACACATGGATGGTACCTACAAGTTCTGCTTCAGCAACAAGATGTCAACCATGACGCCCAAGATTGTCATGTTCACAATTGATATTGGAGAGGCACCTAAAGGCCAAGATATGGAGACAGAAGGTACTCAAAAATGTAGCTTAATTGGGGTTTTCCCCTTTCCCTGATAGATTGTGCTTGATTTGTTTTTGTTTTTTGTATTAGTTCTTCTTTTTGACTTTACTTTGGGTGCTTTCCTCCTTTTTGTAGGTCACGACAGCTGGGATGGTAGGAAACAGGGCAGGCTATGACAAAACTTCTGCTTTTGAGTCTGTAATGCACTGTGGAATTTTTTTCTAACCTATTTTATTTCCATATTGTGAAATAATTGGTGCTTAATTTAATAAATGGCTTATCATGTGATGTCATTGCTGACGTCTTGCACTGGAGATAAACCCACTGAGTGGCAGAAAGACACCTGACAATGATTGTAGACTGCATGAGCAGCTTTACAACCCAGAAAACTCAGCTAAAATTAGGTGCTTTTCAAACACATTCAGTAAAGACTTGAAACAATTTTTTATTTTTACTAGGGCTGCGCAGTATATGTGGAAGACAGTAGAAACGGTATGAAGTTGGCCTACGGTAGAAATTTATTGTCAGTTACGTCATCGCACCTGTGTCAACAGGGCTGCGAGTGCAGAGACAACTGAGCAGGAGTTCGAAATATAATGAAGAAATTACACGTATAGAGAGAATAAATCCTCAAAATTCCCCCCTCCCGTTGTAGAAAAGTTACGTCTGGATCATCCCCACCCCCGACTCTCTCGCTGCATGTCGCTCAGAGCGAAGCTTTAACAACCATAGTTTTTTTCACATCCAGTTTGTCAGAGAAAAAAAAATTGTTTTTTATGTATTGTTACAACAAAAAATGTGGACATTCGTTCAGTCATAAATCCATCTCCACATGATTAACAGTTATTACATCCACATGATTAACAGTTATTACATCCACATGATTAACAGTTAAAGGACACACAAGTTGTGCCAAAAATACATTGAACAGGAATGGATTCAAACTTACTGGAGGATATAATAAATAGTGTAACATGCAGAACATTTATTTATAAAAAGAATTTTATGACCCATGATGACGAGTGACTCATCAGCCGTTTTCAGGAATAATCCTTTTTCAGTTTGGCACTGCGGTGCTCTGGAGCGCAGCAAGGAGCCACGTGCTCCACGCGTGCAGATCAAACTGGGGTTCCACAGGAGCTTTCCAGAAGGAGCTGGCAGACCCATCAGGACTGTGTCAGTCCAGTCCACCTAAAGCAGAGTCATGACCAATGGAATCGTTTCATCCATCTTTTTCTAAAGACTGAGTTATGGTCGCGCTCTGGAGCGGCGCACCCTCGCCGGCAGTGGAGGTGTTTCATACTTGGCGTTTACGTTGTTGTAGATTTCTCCAAAATGACACGTGGAAGTACACTTTACAACTTGTGAAAATGCTGTAAGTAGGAGAGCAAAAGCTTGACAAACAGACTGCACACAAAGGCTGCGGTGCGTGCAGCGTTTGTGGAGACTCTCCAACATCACGTCACGTCATGTGAACTCTACTGAGACGCAGAGACTCGTTTCTTCATATCAGCAATGAAATAAACTAAGATCTATGTTCTACAAACATTTAAGTTCCTCTGTGTTTACAGTAATTATGGTAATAAACTCGTGCGCAAAGTGATGAGCCGGTTGTGCAACACAGCAGTGTGCGTGCATACACATACACCGACACACAGTCACTCGTTCTTTACGTGATAAACATACACTCCTGATCAAAATCTTAAGACCAGTCAAAAAAGTGCAAGAATTTCCATTTTGCACTATTGGATCTTAAAGAATAACTTACCCCAACATTAAATTTTTTTAGCTGATAAACTGTCTAGAATGTGTCTAAAATGTTATATAGTACTGTTTCTGTGCTAATTTTGATGTT